CACATATCTATTTTTTTTTCATATTAATGTATACGAGTTACAGTGACTTATAGCGCAAATTATTGCAAATGCAGTGAAGTGTTCAAGAGGACACAGCTAATGTAGAAATATTTTATTATTAATATATATCTCACCAGAGATGATTTTAGATCTTGAAATAAAATTAATGAGTTATCTCTACAATCAAAGTAATAAATGATTATATGCTTTTAATTTTATGATTAAAAGCAGTAATTATAAAATTAATATCGTAAAATTTTACACAAATTAATATCTATACAATATACAAAATAGTAACCAAGCGAAATCTGTGCATGAAATGTTTTTTAAAAACAATAACCGTTACGTACTGTAAATAATATAGATTATTATAGAAAATTTTGTGTAATTCGCTGCAGGAAAATGTTTCATTTCCACGGAAAAACACTAAAACTGGTTCTGTCGAGTCGTCTTTAGAAAACGTGGCTAACGCTGGCTAAACCCTAAGAGATACATCAAAAGCAATGCACCAGAAAATTGTCTACAGAAAAGTCTCCAATAGTATGTGTGACTCTATTTAAAGCACACTTACAATAACTATATTTATTAACTAGCGACTCACGCGGGATTTCGTCCCTAGCTTGCTTCCCAATCCAAACTTTCATCCCCATTTTCACCCCCTTAAGGGATGATTTCCGGGATAAGTATCCTATATCCTTCCCTGGCTCTCAAACTATCTTCTTACCTTTCATCTAAATCGGTTCAGTAGATCCAAAGTTTACCACCTATAACGTCACAAACTCACAAAATTTACCTCTTTATAATATTAGTATGGACTTAAAACGTGCCTACCTACCGTCACGACGCACACGAGCGAAGCCAGGGTAAGTCGCTAGTTGGTAAAAAAATTAGAATTTAATTGCAAAGAAATTTTCTATCGATAACATTTAGTCATCAGAAGTTAATGAAATAATTAATAATAACAATAAATTCTAATTAATTTTAGTTTATTACAAATACTTTGATCACAAAGATGGTATATTGATTTGATCTTAAACGGAAAATCATCCTTCGACGACGTTCCTATAATTTTTATTAATAAATTAAATAAATTGTTATAAATATTAAAATAACTTAATGATTATTTTGTGACTTTTATTTCTCCTAATGCTTGTATCCGATTCTATAAATTCACAGATCTGTAATACCTAGATATAGACAATTCACATTTGCTAAATAAAAAAATTGAAATTTGTATATTTTAAATTTTTTTTGAACTAAAATAAATGTACTTGAAATATCAAAGCCGATATTAAACCATCAAATATATAAATTAATTCTTACAATTAACGTGTTCATAGTTAAATTATCGTACCAAATGTTGTTAAGTGTAAACAGAATTTTTTTAACATAAATTATATATCATTACATATCTGAAACTTACCTTCATTAAAGATACAAACGAATAGCATTTTTGTGAATTACCTAATTAATATGTCAATTTGATTGGAATGTGAAGAATGAAATACCTCAGTGACGAAACAAATTTTTCAAAAGTAATGATAAAAGCGATATTGAACCTGGCATTTGACTCATTTAGCATTTTGCAAATAAGAATACATATAATAAAATTGTAACTAAGCCGAATTAAATATGTTTTTGGGAAATCTTATTGAAATAAACATTATTATCGATACAGAGACCGAGTCTATAGTTTTTAGAATTTTTGTCTGTATGTCTGTCTGTCTGTTACCGCATCACGGAAAATCCACTAGAGGGATTTTGATAAAATTTGTTATGGTGATAGCTGGTTATCCGGGTCAACATATAGGATACTTTTTACCCTGGGAAAATATCTCATTTCTGAGAAAAAATACAAAAATTGCAATGTAAGAGTATAATAATATGTAAAACCTAAGAATTTGTTTTTTGGTTATTTAAACGCGAGCGGAGCCGCAGGCAATGCTAGTATAACTATAATTTAATAATTTAAATAATTTGCGCAACGCATTAAACGAATTGCAATTTCTTATTAACAGAAAATATTGGAAATATACATTGAATTAGGATTTTGATAATAGGTAGAATTTGATTTCTGATATTTTAAATTAATTTCAATTGCTAAAATAAAATATAGTAATAAGTACATTACTAAAATATGTGTAAAACACCAACTAGCCTGCTTTCAAACCACTGTCTAAATGATATTGAGGTAAACAATATTACTCAAGAGGAAATAAAACAACAACATAAGTAATTAGATATTTACATATAATGCGTATATTTATATTTAAATGATTTTAATGTGCGTAAATACAACTACTTTAATACTAATTACTTTTGTTTTGTGTAGTTTATGAGCCGGAGTATGACATGTGCTACTTTTAATTCCGGTACATCAAGCGGTCTCTGTGCGATATAAGTATAATATTATATAACTGCAAGTATACACTATAAAATCTATCTATAATAAAATTATCTATAAAATATATCTATGATAAAATTTTAACTGAGCCGAATCGATTATTATTATTATTATCGATACAGAGGCTGAATCTACAGTATTTAGAATTTTTGTCTGTCTGTCTGTCACATCACGGGAAAACCAGTAAACGGATTTTAATGAAATTTGGTATAGTGATAGCTGGTTATCTGAGTCAACCTATAGCTAATTTTTTACTACGGAAAAATATCTCTTCTCTGAGAAATCTATACTAATCCTACTTCCTAGTCAGTCCCGAACCAGAGCAAAAGTCCCATATTAATTTATTTATAGAGTTAAAGTACTTGAGAGTTCAAAAACTTGTAAGTTTGACATGACTTTTGTATGTCGCTTTAACAAAAAAGCGTTAAACTTGGAAAATTCTGTCTAAAATAAATTCAATTTTAAATATTCAACTTATTATAAAGCAAAGATTATTTATGCTATTTTAATATTACTTAATAATTGTACGTAATAATATTCGTAACGAACATCTCAAATTTAAATTAGAATCTCGTAATTTCTACATATTACCACAGATCATATAATACTATTACTTCCTGTATAAATTAATGAATAATTAGAAATTTCATTAACAAATTATAATACTTAGATAGTTTTAAACATTTTTTTTTTATTTTAACTGTTTGTTAAATCTTTACTTTTAATATTATAAATGTGAAACTTTTTTGGAATAGTCCAGAAAGACCTGTTTTTATGCATTGCTAGAGTATTTTATATATAAAAGAGCCTAAATATATGCCTAAATAAAGCATCAGCGCCATTGGTAAAAGCCACTTAAATTATCACGAGACCATATAATTTTTCATAATCTTTTAGTACAGTATAGTAGTAATCCGACAAATTGAAAATTTAGATGTTTTTATTTTTGATAAATAAATAATATTTTTTAAGGATATTAAGATTCGATGTCGAAGTTCTTATCAATAAAAAATAAAACAACTTTTACTATAAAATATTTTTATATCCAGTTTTAACATTTTCTTTTCGCTACACGAAAGTTATATTTAATTTACCCACTCCATTTTACATTTCCATCCGTAATTAACTGAATATATTTCTAACAAAAACAAACAAAATACAAAATCTATACAAGTATTACATAATTGCACAACCGGCCGGTCATTATTTACAGTTCAAATGGCATTTTTCACCGTAACGGTACTCATGCATATTTACAATGCAAAATTTAAAATAATTAACCATAAAATTAAAATATTAAGAATAATTTTATAACAAGTAACTAAAATCGATGTTCCGTAATTATTGAAAAGCAAATCTTTCAAAATACTTTATAGGTATAGGTAAGGTACATTCGCAATTTTTAATGTTTAAATAACTAAAGTTTTCCATAAACAAATAAAATGTTTGATGAAGTGACAAGCTTTTCAAATTAGGTATTAGCTGAAAACTTTTCAAGTTTAAAAAAAGCTTAGGAAAATTGATTACAATGATGTTAGTGATCCTTTATGAAACATATTTATTAAACGTGACCTCTTGTTAGCATCTCTCCGATACGCATACATTGCAAAAGGCTTGATGGAGATCAAGTTACAGAGCTGAAGTACACGTACATACTATACGGCTTTTATTTACTTATTTGTTTATAGTATAACTAGCAGAACCCCCGGCTTCGCTAGCGCTACTTTCATCCCCTATTTTACCCACAAATGGGATGAATTTCGAAAAATGCTAAAATACGCATTTATTTAATTTTATTAAAGAGCATTAATATCAAGTTTCAAGTAATTCTGATCAAAAATATTTTATTGGATTGTATTATAACAAAAAATCACGCCAATCCGTCGATACGTTTCGACGTGAAAGAAGGACAAACAAATAAACAAACACACTGTCACATTTATAGTATTAAATATTAGTATAGATATGTATATACACTAGTATATAAAAATATATAACTGGATAATATATACTCAGTAATATAAAATATACATTATACATATAAAATAGATAATAATATATACTAAAAATATACTCAGAATTATTCTGTCTATAATCATAATTTTATGTCGGTCGGTCGGTTAGGTATTAAATAATTTTTTACCCCATGAAAATGCTTAGTCAATAATTTCGAAACATCTACCCGTGAGATACATAATCAACAGTGGGAGTATTTAAATAAATAAATATAAAAATATATCTGAAACGAATATTCAAGCTAATAGAACATTTAGCATCAGTCTTAAGTGTTTATAGAGATTCTAGTGTTACAAGGACTAAGAAATCTAATTTTATTATAAAGTTAATCTACTGTAAACTATAAAATAATAATCATGAAATTAATAAAATTAAATTATAAGGAATAAAAACAATATAAAAAAGAAATATTATTGCAGACCTACAGAAGTATATATTTGTCTTACTTTGAGGTAAATTCGGTGGCACTTATAATTTATTTAGAAATTAACATACTCATACCTTAAATAATTACGCTACATAATGTTTATTTAAATAACAATGTTATAATAGCCTACTTCCTTTTAAATCTAAAGTATTACGTACATTCTACAGACTGTATGTATGGCGAATCGTCTAAATTCGATATAGAAGACGCTGAGGCTCTACCGTCGTGACCCGTTACTATTGAAATAACACTTTTGTGTTCTGAATCACTGTCACCACTTAAAATTATATTCGTTTCACCAACAAACCCTGAATCTATTTGATTTTGATTTAACTTAGAAGACTCCAATTCTAAGCCGAATTCCTCGAAAATTAACTTAGAATCGTCCAAATTGCCAAAAAACACCGAGTCTGTTTCAATACTTTCTCCTCCAGACTCGCTTCGACCGTCGCATAGAGATTCTAATTCGTCCGTGTCTGTATCTATATGCAAAGAGTTCATTTTAACAGTTTTCTGAATTGGTTCTAATTGAATTTTAGGTTTTAATTGCATTAAATATCTCGCTCTTCGTTTAGATTCGTTTGAATCAGTACTCAAATAGCCTGAATCTTCAGTTCGACAAAGTTTTTTTATATCGACTCGTCTAGATCTTGTTCTAGCCGATCTTCGACCGGATCGTCTCATATTGATGTTATCGGTCCGAGAATACGGCGGAAATCGATCTCTTTCTTCGGATGATCGATATCTATCACTTGGTGGGCTGTTTCTTGGTGTATTATTCTTTGAATTAGCTTCCCGTTTCTTGCTTGGTAGTGGCGGCTTTGGTTCGATTTCATTGTCCCTCTCCAAATTTCGAACATATGAAGCTATTTCCTGTGTTCCGTATGGAAGGCTACCGCGTCGCTCAATAAATGGCCTCTTAATTTGACTTTTACTTTTGTTTGCTTCGTATATTTGTCTCAAACTGCCTATTTTTCGGGTGAAAGCGGCTTCTGGAGGACTTTTCTTTTGTTCCGTTTCAGATACTACTAATTTATGTTTAAAGCTTCCTCCCGATTTTAGAAGGATTTTTTCAACGCATTTCTTGCTTTCAGTCGTTTCTCTTTGTCTTTTTGGTTTTCTATCAAGTGTATCTGGGTCAAAGTCGTCGTATTCTTTTTTACAATTATCTACTGGGGAACCTCGGACTTCAATAGTGAGCGGTCCGAGCCTCTCTACGTTGTTATATATTGGTTCCACTGAATTAATGAATACATTATTATGGTTAGAAATTCTTTTATTATTAGACTCAAAGCTTATAGTTTGAGGTGATATTTTTGACGCATCTTTTAAATCTCTCCAACTACGTGTCAATCTATCGCGTGATATTTGGTTATTTTGTAACAATACTTCTTTGTGATTTAATTCTGGCCCAAAATCTAATGAAAATCTTCTCTTTTTGGGAGTTCTCCTTTCTAGACTATCAAAATCATTTGCACTTTCATGATCTAAATCCTTTTTACTTTCAGAGAGTACGTTGTCATCACTGAAGTAATGTGAGTCGGCCGCTACAACTGGGATTATTAACTTTGGCGCTGTTGAATTTATTTCTGGCTCAGTTCGCTTGCATTTATTTAATTCTCTAATAACAGCTTCCATTTTTCTTTTAACTTCCGGAGAAACTGGTTCAATTTCATCAAATTTACTAACGTCTGTGTTATTTGATGGCGGTGGGGGTGGAGGGGGTAATTTCTTCCTTATACGCCTAGTTGCATGATTTGAAGGACTTTTTCTTTCTGAATTTGTAATTACAGTGGCTTTAGCTATTATAACATCACTTTTATTCACATTATTAAGATTATTGTTACCGCTATCCCTCGCAATTTTATCTTTCAAATACTCTTTAACAATAGATTCAGTAATTTTAATAGTGTCTGAGTCTACGTTAGTCACAGGTTCAATCGGAGTAAGTCGCATATCTTTATCTTTTGGCTCAATAACTCGTGGAGTACCACTAACTTTGGCTACAGATTTCATTGGTTTATTAACAGTAACAGCTGGAGTAGGTACATCGTCCAGCCATTTTTGAACTATTCTTTGTTTATAATCATCACTTACACAAGTTTTGCATGAGTTAGATCGAATTAAGCTAGTACTTTTCTGCATTTTGGAACTATCGCATCCTGGACAACCGCCACAATGGATCGCTCTGCGGCTATTTTCTCTTTTCAAACTAATAGCACTAAATCTTCGTCCTCGTCTAGCACAAGGGATGTCCCAACCAAGGTCTACAGTGTGATAGGATTCCTCTTCAGGTATATCTGACAACACTGGTATAAATTTTTTTGAAGTCATTTTTTCTTTGGCTAGTGTCATCACTTCCCTTAATTTTACCAAAAATTCCATTGCTGCTGGTGGTGGATTCTAGAATGGCAAATATTATTCACAATTAGCATAAATTTTGTCTTGATTTAACTTTGAATATATTAGATATTATTAATAAATATCTATATAAATTAATAAAGGAACACCAACACATTTATCAAATTTTATTTCGTATCATACCTTTAATAAATCTATTTCGAAGAACACCGGGTTGAAATACAACTTCCTTCTAACAACCGGTTCTCCTTCAGGCTGAACAGCTTCATCTTCATCTATGCAATCTAGTATTGATAGATCGGAATGCGGTGCTTTTTCAAGTTCTGGCGAAGATGATCGCCGTTGTATCCTCTCGAGTTGCTCCGGCGTGGATGCACGAATTGTAGGTCTGGATGGTTTCTTTCTAGAATGTACTACGGCGGATACGACATTTGCACTTTTTTCTTGGAACTGTAATAATTCGTAGAAATAAAATAGAAATACACTGTAAAAGACCAAAGAATTCTCCAATATGGTTTAGGTTTAACTCACTGTTATGTAAATATTTTATTAAAATATAAAATAAAAATAACAAATTATTTTTTGAGCGTTAAATTTAAATTATTATACCTTTTGAGTATTAACTGAGGATGAATCAAAAGTATCTTCCGTGTGTTCACTGACGTCTGAAAGACCTGCGTCATTTGAATAATCACTTCTCATATTCTCCAAATTTAACAATGGATTTGACTTCATTCTCTGGAAAAATAACGAAATTAAGAATTGCAAGTATAATAAATAGTTAAAATGTAAATTTAATATTATATATTATATTTCAAAAATAATCATTAGAATCTTACCATACTATCTATGCCAATGCGTGAATCGATAGTAGAGCCATTATCAGTAGACAGTGTATGAGAGAGATTCATCTCAGGGTCCTTAATTCGTTTCTTTTGTTTTTGTTTGTAATGTATGTAGAATATAATGCCCGCGGCATATACGAAAACTATCATTAACACACAGACGCCTATTGCTAACGATTCCAGAACGCTTAAACCGTGGCTTTGTGAGGTCGGCTCAGTGGTTACTGTTTCTCCTGCGTGAAAAGGTATAGACCTAACATCTGAAAAAGAATATTCCTATTAGATCTAGCATCTGTATTATTATTTTGGAAGATTAAGCATATATTTTATAAAAGGAGCTTTAAAAATGTAAATATTTTCTTATTTTCTAAAAAAAACTCGTAGTATTATATATATATACTAGCGGACCCGACAGACGTTGTCCTGTCTACACGTCTTTAATTTGAAAATTTCAAACTTTTTTTAATAATTTTTTTGATGAAAATTGTTATTCAAATTGTGAATCTAAACCATTCCCAGATCCCCTTGAACACACACAAAAAATTTCATCAAAATCGGTCCAGTCGTTTGAGAGAAGTTCAGTGACATACACACTCACAGAAGAATTATATATATAAAGATTAAAGGAAGAACATATCATAGAATAGGGCAATATAGAAATAAAATAGAAAGAATTTAATACCTAATATCGTATTACGAGTGATTCCAGCTACACGAAAAGCCGCACACGATGCTGCGAGATGTGCTGGCTTGGGCGCGGAACATAGAACATGAACAGCTATCAAACGTCCTTCCAGGCGAGTGTGGAGGGTGGGTGAGCCGCGCCACTATTGTGAAATATTAAATTCATTTAATTATTGTTAACTTTAATTACCTTATTTCTTATAGCTTGATTTCAAATTACTTATATATATATTATGTCATCTCAATACCTTTAACTTATAAAAGATCTTTTTTAAGGAACATATTATAAATGAAACATTTAGTTGATTTTATTCAGAGTAAATGAAACTTGAGAAAAATATTTTTGTCACATGTTGGAATATCAAGAATGTTACGGGTTTTAATCAGGTGTCTCAAGAATTATTTAAGGCTATGTATTCGCCATGTTAAAATGTGTCAAAAATTTTCTTTAGAGGTTCTGCATATGTAAAAAATTGTTATTTTATTTATTTAGGAATTATCCATGCTTGTAACTAAAAAATCCTATTTTAATCGAGTTTTAGAACTTTCAAATATTCTAACTAAATGAAACAAAAACACCAACACAAGTGTGTGTTTCTTCTACTAATTTTACTATATAAAATAATGCATTAAAATACGAATTTTCGCTGCTTTTTGATACTAGATACAAAAAATTAAAGAAATTTTATTAAAGTTACGCTACCACTACAAAGTTTGTTTTTATTCTTTTGATTCCTAATTTAACTGGCATATCAGTCGACCTCATCAACGTGTACAAATGTTACAGCAAAATATTTGGACAGTTTGAACAAATTGCACCTTTGACGCCCGCGAGTATCTCCGCGATCTGCCGACCGCTTTTATCCAAAAACATGACTTCCGATTGAAAGGTTAAAATTCGTATGCGATAGTATCTAATATTTTTAATTCTGAATTTGAGAAACATGATATATTAAAAACTATTTTGGCGTTTTATTTTATCACTAGCGACTCAGCCTCGCTTCGCTCGGGTTCCTCCCTACTTACGTTTTAACGTTGTGTATAGATTTCTCAAATATGAAATATTTTCCCGCAGTAAAAAGTATCCTATATGTTGAACTGGATAACCAGCTATCATCATACCAAATTTCATCAAAATCTGTCCAGTAGTCTCCTCGTGATGCGGTAACAGATAGACAAAAATTCTAAAAACTATAGATTCGGTCTTTTTATCGATTATAATGACCATTTCCATAAGATTTTCAAAAAAATATTTAATGTACACAGTAGGTACAGATTCGGCTTAGTTAGGATTTTATTATATATATATAATATCTAGCAATCTATTCTATTTAATATCTATGTATATAATAAAATAATATCTGTAAATACCGAGTTATAAAGTCAGAGATAAATTCTTTCCTTTAGAATTCGAATGTTTGAGATATTGAAATAATCAGTAATAAATATTATAAGCAGTCAATTATGTTATATAATAAATATAAAGTTATAGAGTTTAAATAATAGAAAAAATAGACAATTGTAGATAACTCTTGGCCACATCTATTGTAAATTCATACGTTTGAACGAAGAATCTTCGATATGTAGAAATCTAAAGTCTGAAATAGTTTTCTCTCAAATTAAGATGGACAACGTCCTACTGGTAGAGACGTGGCAACTCAAAACAAATGTTACGTTATAAATAGTTAATTTATTACTGGCATCCTGCCATATGTTGAGGTATCTCTGTAGAATGCTTTCATCGAGTTTAAAAAAACTAAAATATACCTACGTGTGTAACTGCTTTTGTGAAACATTGTTATGAATGCATTTTACGCCAAACTATAAAAACTCATACTTAAATCTATACATATAATAAAATTGTAACTAAGCCGAATCTGTAGGACATTAAATATTTTTTGGAAAATCTTATTGAAATAAACATTATTTTCGATACAGAGGTCGAATCTATAGTTTTTAGAATTTTTGTCTGTCTGTCTATCTGTCTGTCTGTTATCGCATCACAGAAAAACCACGGGAGGGATTTTGATGAAATTTGGTATGGCGATAACTGGTTATCCGGGTCAACATATAGAATACTTTTATTATTTATTAAGAGTATACTAATATGTAAAACCTAAGAATTTGGTTTTTGGTCATCTAAACGCGGGCGGAGCCGCGGTCATTGCTAGTATTGAATAAATAGAATTGATTAATAATAAACAACAATAAGAAACAAAATTTTTAACACAATTTTATAATTAGTTTCCAAAAATATTATGGAATGCTTGTCGTTAAATGTTAATTTCGTGGTGGTCCATCGATACGTTAAACAGTAAATATTGTAAAGTTGATAACCATATTGTGAGTATACATGAGCACGTGCTTTAAGATTTTATTTATTTGCATATTATGTAAATTTAAATAGTAAAATTCATTACATTTTCCTTCACTGCAACTTAGTATAAGTTAGCATATTTAATTATATAGAGTTTTATTTGTAAAAAAATCTAGAAATTTACGCAGAAAGTTTTTTTAGTCCTCTATTATTCGTACAATAAAACTTTTAAACGGCATATTTATTCCGATTATGTTATAATAAAATAAAATATTCTTCTCTTAATTAACCAAGATTGTTTAAGTGTTTTTTTATTGCTTAACTCACCAGGAAAAACGCTTTCGGTGAGTTTATGTCTTAACATCATTACAAATTATTTTATACTTATATTAGTATCTATATCGTATTTTATTTTAAATTAGTGATCGTCTGTGGATTAAAATTGACCATGATTGATTATGTTTAAATGTAGTAGTATGATTATATATCTTTCATGTGCAGACAAACAAACTCTTCACTGTTATATATTAGTATACAATTGATGAAGGCCGTCTAACAGCACGTTGCTTATTGTACTATAAAAGAAATGCAAGTGGAGCCACAAGCAAAAGCAAGTAATAAACTAACTTAACATAAATTTAGTTTTTCTCAGTCCTTCTTCATTACTATACCAAAGTTTATACTACATATACGCAATATGCTTAAAAAGGGGCAAAAAGTTTTCTCTTCATGTATTAAATGACTAAGTTCTAAGTTTAAGTGAATGAAAATTATTGCATCTATTCCGTCAGTATACAAATATATATACAAATACCTACATATGCTTCATATCTCAAATCTCAATAATTAATTGTATTAAAGTTCGCGCTTTCCATTGCTCTATAAATTAATTTACACGTAGTAAGTATATAATATTAGTAATGTTTAGAAATTCATTTTTATTACTATTATAATCTATCATTGTTTTACAGTAAGGATGAAAACAACAAAAAAAACATTAAGTAATAATAATAATAATCAATAATAAGCCCGGTTCGGACCACCTAAGCTTAAGTATTGATTATGTTCATTTAAAGCATATTATGATGTTTTGTCAACTCAGGAAAAGTTCGCTCTCGACCGGCGATAAACGTTTTACGACTCTACCGAAAACAATTATTATTACGACTGCAGTGAGATGAGAATACAGACTTTCTAGATGAGATACTTGTCATCGAACAGCTTTCTGACGATTTGTTTTTCGGTCATAAAACAAGTTGAAGATATTAAATTGTTACTAGCGGCTTACTCTCCGCTCGGGTTCCCCTCTATCTATCCCTCGGGAACCGTATATTTTTCCGAGATTAAAAGTAGCCTATGTGTTATTCCAGACTATAATCTGTCTCTGTGCGGTGTAAATTTCATCCAGATCCGTTCAGCCGTTCTGGCGTGAAAGAGTAACGAACATCCATACATACTCACAAATTTCACATTTATAATATTTATTATACAGATTAATATTTATCAAATAATCGAATAGTCTGTACATCATCCTGTATATTAATTATTCATACCTATATAAAGCTTAAGTGTCTTTTTTATTTACCCTTCTTTTATACAGAGCATAGTACATATATATATATACAATATACAATACAATGGACTAACAAATTCATCTAAACCTCACCAATTAGATTGTTTATAGATGGCTACCTAGAGATAGCTGAAAAGTCTAACAGGATGTTTTCTATCCCTATACCTAAAGTAATTCCCAAGGGATAGGTACTTGTATTTTATAAGAATCCACGCATGTCACTTAGTTTGTTAATTTATAAGTTAAATGACTAAGTTCTAAGTTTAAGTGTATGAAAATTATTGCATCTATTCCGTCAGTATACAAATTAATATGCTAATTTTGATTTCCAATGATTATCCATTCAGTATATAGGTCCACTATGATCAATAATAATAATTTATTGACAACTTGTAACAGATTCTTAGCTTTTTAAAAAAAAGGAGAACTGGAATAAAATTAGCATTGATGAGCGTCTCTAGAAATTTTAAATCTTCGTATTGACCGATCCAGATCAGTAAGCGTTGTACGCTCGATACATTTAATCCCGCCTATGTTTGTTTCATCAGCTTTAACATCAAGAACACCTTAATTACGTATATGATAAGACCAATGAATACTTATTCATTGGTTGTGTTTTGATAAACATTGAAAATATATTATATGCTTAATAAAAAAAACTGAAACTACTTTTCGGAACCTGCATGGGTGGTAAATCGTAATATAAATGTTAAAAGTAAAACACACTCATTTGAAAGTTTTCCTTAAGAATTTCTACTTGGTTTTATATTAAGAGATGATATAATATGTAAAAATTTATGCCAAATGAAAAAAAGAAACATTCACCAACATCGAAACAAATTCTATAATTTATTTGCATTATAATGTAGAGAAATTATGTTCGTATTATGACATTCTTCAAATAAGCAAAATATTTATTTATACTTCACTGTTTAGTTTGTGTAATATGTTAATAAGGTAAATAATCTTGTACCTGCAAATAAGTACTGCCTTCATCTCTATACAATCCAAATGGAACATCATTATCGACTAAATCTCGTAATGTGACCCATCCGGATGGAGATAGATACTGGGCGCTCGTAACTGCACAGATTGCGTCTTCTATTTCTATAAAGTAGAAAAAATAAAATAATTTAATTCATATATTATAAATGTGAATCTTTTAAGAGGCATGGCCTTATTCAACAATGATTATGCAATTTTTGTTTGCTTTTTTTTGAAAGGTTTCGCTATTTCCATTAATATTTATTATATAAGTTTAGGACCTCGCTATCCAGGCCAGCTTAAAAAATTAACCCTTCTGTACTTTATGTAAGGAGTTTTAAAATATTTTATGTCATTCAATATAAGTGTAATTTGTTCTTGAAGTTTCCATATCCGATATGGTCTAGTGGCTAGGATACCTGGCTCTCACCCAGGAGGCTCGGGTTCGATTCCCGGTATCGGAATCACATTTTTACTGGTTAACAATAAATTATTATGTTTAATTTTAAAAACTAGATACCTGTAAATATAATTTCTTTTGAAGGATAAATGATTTGACCCTTCATGGGCAAAAACACAAACGGAATCTGTGGTTTTGTCGCACCCCGACCAAACGTAGCCATCGGACATTCTGCAATAAATTTAGAGAAAAGTTAAAATTTTTGAATTCAAATAAAGCTAGTAAAATAACATAATTAAAACGTAAGCAATTAAATATTTTACAAGAAGTGATTTATTATAAAATTAAAACAAGTAATTGTGCCACCATTTTAAAGAGTTTTTATTTAACCTAAGTAACACAAGAAAAAAGTTCATACAGCCAAGATACAAAATAAATAATATCATGCACATATTTTCTTTCGCTAGGTCATGTGCCCCATTAACGCCTATTATATGTTTGTTACATGTTATTCTCATTCAACTTAACATAGAGGGCATTTTGATTGACTATGCAAGAATTCACCATTCAAATAGACAGTTAAGAATAACCTTTTGGCAAGAATAGCACTTATGAGTAATAACTATATTGACAATTGCTTATGCAGAGTGTGTCGTGTTTAAGATACTAAATAAGTTCAAAATTCATGCCTTAACCTAACATTGTAACGTCGATCTCGTATTGTAACTTATTCTTGCTCATGTTTAATTAATGACAAATTGCACAAGCACTTTCCACTTTCCATTAGTCTTAGCTTCGAGATGTTCCCTCTTAGAATAATGACTAATTTTAAAATTATTGTCGAATTTTAATATCTTAAAAAATGCCTACTAAAAAGTAAATGTAAGATTTTTAGCAATACTAAAAACCTTGTTTTGTCTCTGTGAATAACACCTTACGAATATATGATTCGACCTTTTTTAAATAAAATATATTATAATATAATCGATACTAATATTATAAACTTTACTAAGTTTGTGAGTTTGTAACGTTATAGGGGTAATCTCTGGATCTACTGAACCGATTTAGATGACTTTGGTATGAAGATAGTTTGCGGACATAGGATACTTTTTATCCCGTAAATCATCCCTTAAGGGGGTCCCAAATGGGGATGAAAATTTGTATTGGGAAGCAAGCTAGGGACGAACCCGAGCGAAGCGAGGGTCAGTCGCTATTATTATATATATGTGTGTCGAATTGAAAACCTCCTCCTTTTTTTGTCGTTTAATAAATAAAAAAGCACTAAACATTTTACACAAAAATCTTACTGTTGTGTATAAGTCATTACAAAAATTTCATCATGATTTTTAATGCATGATTTTTAAATTAAATTTACTCGGTGCAATTCTATTGAGTCTATTCATATATAATTTATAATAAATGTGGGAATAACATATCCTTACCATCTATAAGATTTACACAGACTTTCTGGTCCTCCCTAAAAGCAGGGAATTCCCTGCGACATTGACATACACAACCGCTGCTTCCCAAAGTGGCAAGTGCGGTGCCACGGCTAACCTCCATGCATCGAGTTAATCCACAGTCCGTACCTGAAATTATTTATAATATTTTTAAATCATACTCAATATACTGCAACATATGTACGTGCATATATTTAAAAACAAAGCAAAATGTACAATTTAAACTTCATTTTAAACTCACTGTAAGAAAATAATATAATATAAAAATTATTTCATACAATATATAATTCATTTCAACAATATATGATTAAAGATATGATTTATTAGAAATGAATATGAATATAAAATTTTATTCTTACCAACTAAAGAGAAAAGATCTCCTGAAGCAAATCTTGTAATATTTGCCAGCGCCATCTCTCCATTAGTACTTAAAGCTTGCGTAAACGTCACCATAACAAGTATAACCAGTAGCGCCATCTTGTACCTACATTTAAAAATACAAAGGTCCTCTACTCATCTTAATAATCTGTATTTAAACCAGCTGTCGCCATTCTCTACTTTGTACTGTTGTGAATATTGAAATTTCATGTTGATCTGTTTCTGTTCATTTTAGTTATTTAAATTCAAGATTTTTGTTTCTCGTCTACATCTGTAACAACATTTTTAATAGATAAGTAAGGATCCTACGATTTTTTTATAGTGAAACTTATGAATATGTTTTATTTACATTGTAGGTATAATATTAGGTATTTATTTCCTTTCTTAAAATATTTAATCATTAGTAGTTTCGAGTTCGACTGAATATAAAAACTAAACGATACTTCCTATCGGAACTGAAATTATATACTACACAAATCCTAACGCCTGGCGCCCGACCTGGATTGTTTAATAAAGTCAGCCAAAACTAGAATTCAGAGCATAATTTATAACGTAGGTATGTTAATTTAAATCAATAGGACGTGTCTTGTAATTTAAATCGATACATTTAAATATATTACAATACATACATTAAAATATAGTCGACATAGTTTCTTAGAGCTTCAATTGGTAAAAAATATTATTTTTACATGGTGTATAATGGTTTGTCTTTGTAAACACTTTTGGTGCAATTTTTATTTTTCCCACATTCATCATATTATATGTTAACCCTTAAGAAAATCAACTGTTACTTATGTGTAGGGATTGATTAATTAAATATTTGATCTCTAATTTCAAAAAATAATAATAATTAAAGAGTGCTTGTATCAATATATGTAATGTACACACGCAAGACGTGAAACATTTGTAGGTTATCTGTACTTTTATAAAATTCAATATAATAATGTTTTTAATAATTAGGGTATGATACATACAAAAAAAACGAATTAAAAAAGGTAAACAATATTTTATTATTCACATAGTAGGTACAGGATAGTGTTAAAATAAAATTTAATTTTGAATCAAATGTTGTAATGATCCAATAAATTATATACTCCAATATAATAAATAATACACCGGAGATGCAATTTTTTGTGAGAAAATATATATTTATAAATTATAATTTATAATGTATAAAAAATATTTCAAGTAAATATTTTTTTAACAATATTCATTTCATATGATTCCATCGCTCATTTAAAAATAAATAGAATAAGTATTCTTTTATAAATATCTATTTTTATTTAATTTATTCTTTGAAATTTTCATAAAATACTTTAAACAATTTTTAATTGACTACTTATCACTTCCGTAACGGTCCAGCATTACGGTTTCCGTTACAAAAATCGTAACGCCAATCTTTTTTTCTCTCTCTCGTGACGCGCCTAAAGAAGTTTCACTTCAAAAAAATTAATTAAACAAACCTTTTATCAAATAGATAGAACAAATACATTATAAGTTTACGGCTTAAGTATTTACATATAGACACATTTAGAGGAGCGTCCAAATAAACCTGTCAATTTATTACAATAAAATCTATTTTCTTAAAAAGTTTTCACTCATAACGTCCAATTAGTCAAATACAAATATCATTTACTTTTATTTAAAGTCGAAAAAAAAATTCAATCTATAGAAAAAGTTATTAATCATAAACAATAGCTACCCACGCCTTTGTTGAATAGGCCTTTAAATGAATAGTCGATGTTAACAATATTTTATGTAAATAACGATATTATGTCTCATCAAAAATCTAACAAAGGCTTCTGATAGACAGTTATCGCCGAATATTTTAATACCAAAATAAAGATAATCTATGCCTATGTTAACATATCGATGGGTCAGAGGTTGTGGCTACTATGAACAACAATGGTATTGACAAGAATAGAAATTACGAGTTTTTACATATTAGATGTCATCGAGGTTTTAAGTTTTCACAAAAGCTTTTGATACATATTAAGTATTTTAAAAGAGTAATGGTTTTTTATACAAAAATTAAAAGCTGACACCTTTTTGTATAGCTTATGGAGAGCATCCTATTGTAGTTTTTCTCTATAATAGAGTCAAGATCTAAGATCATAATAGAGTATAATAGAGTATAATAGAGTATCAAGTAGAATTCCTATAGGATATAAATCTATTATAAAGAGAACGGATAGGTCAATATTACCTAGTACTAGTAGGTACAGTTATAATAATGGTCTAATGTCTATATCAATATATAAATAAAATTGAAGTGTCTGTGATATCAAAATAACTGTTTTCTTAAGTAACTGTTTACATATGTTACCCGTACCTAAGCAACCTTTTTTTTTTTAAATCCATCTGGCTGTCTTTCTGTTTGTTCGAGTTTATCTTTGTAACGACTTAACCGATTGCTATGGGATTTTCATTGAAAGATAGAGGAGCTTTTAGAGCTATGTACAGGTTATGTTTTATTCCGGAAATATTTAGGTTTCCAGCGCGAAAATTGAAACACCCTCAAAATAATGCAAAATAACGATTTTACGAAAAAGTCCGCTGAGTATCCCCTAAGGTAAACTCACAATAACTATTTTTATCTATTTAATTTTATATTCAAAATAATTATCATAAAATACCATATTGCATCACTTAACTCTATAGTTGTTTTTATTGCCTACTATAAAATACAAATACAGATATACACATTATCTGTGCTACTACTTCCGATTCTTTAGATTAACTGTGTCCATGATAAATTGCCCTCTCCAAAAAGTTAATGCCTACTCATAGTTTTTATGTCAGTTCAAGAGTCAAAAGTTGAAGCTATTGTTTTTTAATGAAACAATTTATCATTATAACAATAAATTTAGACATTGATCATTGGTAGTATAATAATAAGGGACGTTTTATTTATTTAAAATTAGCAGTTTACGATTGTTTCACTCGGATGCGTTCCTAGTGAACGATTGAATGAATGGTTTATGAATGCATAGAGGGAAAATATACAACGAAATTTTCCTTTTCTTAATATCGACTTAGGGCAGATTTCATCTAGTTTTAGTTCGTTAATTTGAATACAAACATGAAAATTGTTATAATTAAATCAAATGATTGCACAATATGCAGAAATTACTTTAATAGTTTTTAGTCTAGCCCAACATATACTTACTCAAATCTCAAATCTTCGAAGAGAATATTTAAATTAATGAATAACGAATGAACATTTATTAATAGACATTTTTTGTTTTTGATAAAACCATGCTTAATGGTCAAAGGCTAGCTATTCATATATAACCAGAATACCAGAATCCGTTATTCGAAACGGTTAGATTATATTGAATTTTAATGTCTGTTCGTCTTCGATTCTTAATAACTAGCTAAATGGCTATTAATCTTATGCGAATGTTTTATTCCTTTCCATTTTGTCTAACTTATTGCTTGTTATTTTTGTTAATGTACCTCTATGACCTTACGGAATAAGAAAACAAAAGGAAAGCTCAAACTTTGTAATATTAATACTTTCTTAGATTTACGCGAATATTTGACATTTTAAATAAAACTATCTTTTCGGATTTTGTCGCGGATTTATTTGTATTTTTGTTTCCCGACGGTTCGAATGCTTTACAGCATCCATGGTCACGGGAGAGACTGAGGTGTTACATGTCTTAAAGATATAGTTGTTACAGACAGCCTACCCACAATTAACAAAATGAAAATTGCACCAATTACATTACAATATTTTAACTTTAAATATTTTTATAATTTTAATTATAATTGAATATGGAAAATTATTTATTTAATTTTTGCTATTATTTTTATAATTATTACAATTTTAAAAATATTAATTAGCAATCTATATTTAGTGTTGCCATTATTATATTTATAACCATAAGAAAATATAACATATAGTATTAATTATTTAAGCCACAATTGATCTATGTGTAATTTGAAGAAGTTAAGATTAATTAAAAAATAATAATTTTAATTTAAATTTGCTATTATTTAAAAACAAATTATTAAGCAACACATTACTACATACATTTACAAATGAAAAAGTGAAAAAATATTATTAATCAGAAATTTTTCACTTTTTCATTTTTTCACTTTTTCATTTGTAAATGTATGTAGTAATGTGTTGCTTAATAATTTGTTTTTAAATAATAGCAAATTTAAATTAAAATTATTATTTTTTAATTAATCTTAACTTCTTCAAATTACACATAGATCAATTGTGGCTTAAATAATTAATACTATATGTTATATTTTCTTATGGTTATAAATATAATAATGGCAACACTAAATATAGATTGCTAATTAATATTTTTAAAATTGTAATAATTATAAAAATAATAGCAAAAATTAAATAAATAATTTTCCATATTCAATTATAATTAAAATTATAAAAATATTTAAAGTTAAAATATTGTAATGTAATTGGTGCAATTTTCATTTTGTTAATTGTGGGTAGGCTGTCTGTAACAACTATATCTTTAAGACATGTAACACCTCAGTCTCTCCCGTGACCATGGATGCTGTAAAGCATTCGAAACGTCGGGAAACAAAAATACAAATAAATCCGCGACAAAATCCGAAAAGATAGTTTTATTTAATTTGTAATATTAATTAATTAATAGGAAGCAATATATTACCGCACTACTATAATTATATATATGCAAAAGTTTGCATGCTTTTGTATGTTTGTACGCTGAAATATCTGGGCGGATTTCGATGAAATTTTGTACACAGATAGATTATGATCTGGCGACCAGTACCAGGGACAAACCCGAGCAGAACAATAGTAGGTCCCTCGTCCCCAATAAAAGCATTGATCCCGTAAGCGAATCAAAATCTACGATTTCTAACTACAATACATATGTAACTGCGAACTGTTATTCATAGATTTTTTTTCACTTTAATTATATATATATTTAAGATATTACTTAGAATAATTATCAGATATCAATTATTGTGTGAACATATAAAAATATAATAATATATATTTTAATTAAATACAAAAAATGTTTTGTTTTTATCTTTAACTACGTTTGTCAATATTTATAATTTACAAGTAATCGGATAAGATATGCATCGGATAACGG